TAATCATGATTCAAAAGAGGCTACGTCGGAGGTCGAGGAGGATATGAGGAAGAAGTACCCTTATTTATTTGAGGAACAAGGTATGTGAACCTAGGTTTGACTTGGCATTTATATTTTATTTATTAAATACAAGTTAGCATGTGTTTATGTCCTTGCTAAATTATACTTAGTTGTTGAAGTAATTTAGTTTATGTCAGAGTATATTTAGTTATTAAATAATTTAGTACAATGCCAGAGTACATATAATTCATTAAAGTTATTTACTTTCTGCTGAAGTGTTGTGCTTTAGATTTTAGTTGGCTATTGTGGTACCTCCTTACCGGAGTGTAAGTAATTGGTTTATAAGTTGTTTATGGTGCCTATGAATGACCTGTTATGGTATATATTGTTGTTGTTGGTGTAGTTGTGGTATTTGTGACAAGGATATTTTTTTGGATAGTCCAATTTACAGTGGAGACTCTGCCGAAATATTTAAAAATTTAGGGAGTTAGCCAAAATTTAGCGTCCCTTGGGAAAGTGAGTAGTGCTAAGAAAATTTAAGATGTTCAAGGAATTAAAGAATGATTGTTAGCTTAAGAATAAGGCCCTAACAACATTCGAGGATGAATGTTTTTAAGGAGAAAAAATTGTAACACTCCTCAAATCTATAAAAGTTTCAACACACGCTAATTATAGAATTTAATTTTTTTTTAAAATCTTGTCCTGAGTGCATAAAAATTATACTTCTATTACGGATTTAAACCCTTGTGATTGACTTTTGAGTTACTTCCCTATTTATAAATAATTGAATATATAATTAAGGAAATATTAATAATTTTAATATTATTAATTATTAAAAATGGGTATCATTAATTATTAGTTAAATTAAAACAAAATAAAAAGAGAAAAGCAATAAAATAACAAAACAGGAGGCCAAGCCTAAAGCACATAAAGGGCTGTTGTAAAGCAAAAGGCTTAAAGCCTTAAGCCTTGGACGAAAGGTTAGAAAAAATCAAAGCAACAGATTTCTACGGTTCACGTCCCAGCGAAACAGAATCACGTCCCAGCATGCAACAAAAAATTCTAGGTTTCTTTACAAATCACTAGTTCTTGAACTCACGTATATAAAATTCCTATTGTCAATTATCCTACAGTAGTAGTAGGTAAAAAAATTGAATTGTTAATTCTCTTCTTTCTCTGTTGATACAGTAAGTTCCATATTTAGGGGTGAAACTTTGAAATTAATTAAAATACATTGGTTGTTGTAGAATCGATTGTTTCACGGGTATAAATTGGATGGGGGGCCTACGTATTGGCTCGAGGAGTTTTGAGGTGAGTTGATATAACGCTTTACTAAAGTGGTTTAATTCACAAAAGCACGCATACAAGGTATTTGATAAATTGCTTAAAAGAGTTAATATGTACTTAATTGGAGCGAGTGAGTACCTATTAGCTTAGAATTATTTTCTAGCTAAAGTTTAGATGATTTATTTTGATATATGTGCATAAATTGTCAGATTTTTGTGTTATTCTTATATGCCATTTTCATGTTGAAAATTCATAAAGAAGCAAGAATTTTTAGAAATATTTTTGAATGTTTATTTCATTCTTATGCCATGCTTTACATTTAAGGATACCAGTATGAGTATGTATAGGATGTTCCAGAAAAGATTTAGACTTGAAAAGTCAGAAGAAGGAGTTTTAGAAAGAAACGATTTTTGGGAGTATCCTCTATTCTGAGAAGGGGTCATCGTCCAGGCCGAGGGTCCTAACCAAGACGTTGACTTCCTGAAACTACTTGTGCCAAAGTAGGGAGCACAAGAACTGAGGGGCTCGTTGCTAAGAATTTTTCTAGCCAAGCTAAGGTATGATACATGAGTGTTGAGAACCATAAAGCGAGTGGCACCTCGTGGATTGGGCCTATTCGATCAGGTTGGGATCGAACCCATGCCGATCACACGGTGACTAAGACAGAAATAAGTTAGGATAGTAGGAACTCCCGAAGTATGAAGTGAAGTATTTTATTTTAAAAAAGAAAAAGAAAAGAATTTCTTTTAGAATATTCATAAACTGCTGTTATGTAATTATTTTAGAATTGTTCTTAGAAACTTTATGTTTTCCATGCATTTAGAACCTTTGCTCATAATGTATATTTTATTAAAGTTCTGTCCCCTGTCGTTAAGACTCACTGAGTACAATGGATGGTACTGATGTTCTCTTTTGGGAACCTATGTTGGTCTGCGGTACAATGTAGGAACCGGTTTTGCAGGCGAGCAGGCTACAGGTTAGGACTTTCCTCTCTTCCAGTACTATTGGTGAGCTCCGCTTTTGTTCGTGGAGTATTCCTCTAAGTCATCTTTATTTAGTTATTTCTTTGTTTACTTGGAGAACTAGCCAGGCAATCTCATGTCCTGAGCAATGCATCAGTTTATTAGTAGAGGCTTCGTAGACATAGTCAATGGGTTAAGATTCAGATGTTTTTGATAATAACTTAGCAGTATTTCAATGGCTACTACGAATAAAGTTTTGGAGATGATTTATTTTAGGCAAAAAGGCCTCCTGGTCACCTAAACTTGCACCCATTTTTCATCCCGGTATATAAACTTACAATATTTCCCTTTCAACACTTAAACTCAACCATCTAAACATTGATAGCCACCTCTAACCATTAACCGTGCTTATGTGGCAAGGACATAGCTGATGTGGCCAAAGTGAGTGTTAATCACACCTATGAAGCGCATGTGAACATGATTATTTTAATTGTAAAAATCTAATATCAGAAAAATGAATTAAAAGTAAAATACAATGGAAGTAATTAAAAAAAGGAAGGAAAATCGTCTTTCCAAGCTCTTCAGCACCCCCTTTTACCCATTCTTTTCTCCACCCTCTTTCATCCCGTCTCCAACCTCCCCCCTCCCATTTTTTTTCTCTTACCCATCCCTCAACCATATTGTCATAATATTGTTCTCGACACCGGCATAGGAACATAACAATGAATGCTGACTGGATAACGTCCGCTTCAACGAGAGACTTGTTTAACCTGAAACTTTATCCGATAAATCATCGGAGAAGATGATCGGCTAAAGTTTTTCTGCTGGAATTTTCTCGATTAAGATATGGTCTTTGGGGTAGTTTCAGGAGGGAAATTTTGGGAAAGAAAATTAAGGGATGAGAGAGGGGAGGGATTAGGTTTATTGAATCCTTCTACCGTTCTTATAATATTTATTTTTCTGATTTATTTCGTCACTTATATTGCTTGAGATTCTGGTAGACTTAAGCTATTATAGTGAAGACTATTCACATTTATTGTTTACAATCTAATTTGGGTAAGAAAATATACTTTGTTGTTGGTTTGACTTGCGGTAATGTGAATCTAAAATATATGATTTTTGGAGTGTGAATTTCAAATTTCTGGATTTTCCTAAGTTCTTTTTACTACCGTGGTGGCCATTTGTGGCAACGAGTAGAAATGGGGCAAAACGGGTGAAGAAGACGCAGATTTACAATAGAAGTGGGGTCCACAATTATAAATGTCTAAATTTATTTTAAAAATGAATATGTGGCAGCTAATACAGTGACCTGTCATACATGTCATCGCGATTGTAGAACACACTCTGTAAGAGGTGTTTATTAGTTGTGTTTTTGTAAAGTAGAAGTATTTAAATGGGAAAGGTGTAAGTTTATATACCGGGATGACAAATGAGTGCAAGTTTAGGTGGCCAGTAGGCCTTTTTGCCTTTATTTTATATATTTAAATTAATTAAAAGTATTTGGTTAAAGTATTTGCATATAAAGTTTGAAGTTATAATAGATTTGATAAGCACAGATGGTTCGCTCGGTCATGTTTAGTGATCGGGTGCCGGTCACAGCTTGTTCAGAAAATGAATCGTGACACATACAATGATGGAATTGTAGATCTCATTCGTATCTGGGAGTGGTTCTTCGGATCAATCGCAGATTTGAAAGGTTTGACGCACGTTCCTAGCTTTGAATCACTTTTTGAGGTTTTTTTGGGCAAAAGACCAAACCTTCAGCACCTAAGAGTGCTTGGCTGCCCGTGTTATGCTACCAATCCCATAGCTAGGAGGGACAAATTTGGTGCAAGAGCAGATATATCAGTTCATTTGGAATATTCCACTACTCAAAAAGGGTATAGACTTTATAGTCTGACTAAGCATTCTTTCTTTGTGAACAGGGATGTATCTTTCCAAGAGGATCGCATTCCATTCAGTTTTTCTACTATCAAGATCACTCCAGTGGTTACATATGAGGATATCTTTATTCCTATGACTATGGGTAGGAATGATTCCCCAGAAGTTATTGAGAAATATCCATGAAATATTCTAGAGACATCTTCATCAGAAGTTCCAGAGAAATTTTCACCAGTAATTCCTGATACATCTTCTGACAATCCACCTGCTATTGCGGCTATATCAACAAAACCTAACTCTGCTAGTCCTTGTGTTACTACACCAAACAAGTTGCTTCCTTGTATGTCTTCAGATGCTAGCACTGTGAGAAGGTCATCTCAACCCATTAAAATACCTGGGTGGCTAAATGGCTTTATTTATGGAGCAACTAAATCTACTGTAGGAACTTCAAAGGCTAATGCAGTCTCTAAATATCTTATATATGCTTACATGTCTTATGATGCAATCTCACCATCTTATCATAAGTTCCTTTGCAACCTTTCTTCAGTTAAAGAGACAGAATTTCTTGCAGAAGCCTTACAAGATACCAAATGGCTTGATGCAATGGATCAGGAATTGAAGGCTCTGAATGATAATCAGATTTGGAACCTAGTTGATCTACCAGCAGATAAGAGGGCTATTGCATGGAAGAGGGTATTTAAGATCAAGTACAATGCTAAGGGGGAAATAAAAAGGCCAAGTTAGTGGCCAAGGCTATACACAGCAGGAAGGTCTTGACTACCAAAAGATATTCTCCCCCATAGTCAAGATGGTGATCGTTAGGGTTATTCTATCTCAAGCTGCAATGCATGGGTGGAAGTTACATCAAAAATGGATGTCTTCAATGCATTTCTTCAAGTTAACTTGGAGGAGGATGTTTATATGTTGCCACCTCCAAGCCTTGCGAGCAAGGGGAGTCCTAGAAAGTCTGTAAGTTACAGAAGTCCTTATATGATTTGAAACATGGAGGAACATGCCTCCATGCAGTGGAACATGAAGCTAAGTGAAGCCCTTGTTGTTGTTGGTTTTAAGAAGAGCCGTCATGATTACTATCTCTTTACCAAGCAGTCTGGATCTGATCAGTTGATCATTTTGGTGTATGTGGATGACCTTCTAATTACAGGGTCCTCATAGTCATTGATTCATGAGGCAAAGTTCATGTTGCAACAACATTTCAAGATCAAGGACTTGGGGGAGATGAAATACTTCCTTGATCTTGAAATTGCAAGGAGCAAACATGGAATTATGGTTTGTCAACAAAAGTTTGCTTTAGATTTGATTGCAGAGCTTGGTCTTGCATGTCCTAAACCAGCTAGTACACCTTTGGAGGTAAATTAGAGGTTCATCAGTGTGAAGTTTGAGTAGAGCAACAAATAAAAGGTTTAGACCGATGACTTGTTACTTGATCCTACTTGCTATCGGAAGTTGGTAGGGAAGTTACTTTACTTACTATGACCAGATATATCCTATGTTGTGCATAAACCTAAGCCAATTTATGCATAAGCCCAAGAAATCTCATATAGAAGGGCCCTTGAGAGTAGTAAGGTACTTGAAGAATGCACCAGGCATGGGGATCATTCTGTCATGCAAACACTCAAGACAACTTTCAGTATATTGTGATGCAGATTGGGAAACTTATCCAATGACAAGGAAATTTGTAAGCGGCTTTGTGGTAAAACTAGGGGACTCTTTAATCTCCTGGAAATCAAAACAGCAAAACACAATTTCAAGAAGTTCCGCAGAAGCAGAGTATAGGACCATGGACAATGTTGTTGCAGAGGTTGTATGGTTGGTCGGATTATTCAATGAACTGAACATTAATTTGGAGTTGCCAATGAAATTATTCTGTGATAATAAAGCTACAATTCAAATTGCAGCAAACCTTATATATGACGAAAGAACCAAGCACATACAGATCGATTGTTATTTCGTTAGGGAGAATACAAGCGGGTTTGATTCGAACAAGTCATATTTCCATAGATATGCAGTTGGCAGATATCCTTACCAAAGAATTGGGGAAGACACAACATGACTTCTTGTTGTTCAAGCTGGGAATGCTCAACCTCTTCTCACTACACATCTTGAGGGGGAGTGATAACAACAATGATGATGTGGCAATCCATTAGTACAATTAGTTACTTGTATAGAGCAGTTAGAATGTTAATTATAAAATTAGCTAGTTGGTAGTTAGTGACATTTTGGACAACTGTATATAATAGAGCATTGACAACTCATTTCTAATACAACGAAAATATTTTCCATTTCTCTCTATCCTTCTCTGATTCCTCTTGATTCTTGCATCTCGAAGCTTCCATGGCTTCCACTTTTAGCTTTGGCGGGAAAGAATCCATTGGCCCCAGCAGCATCTTTTCAACCTTGTCCAATATATGGAAGGCATTAGTGTTGAGAATAACCCCCTACAAAAATAATATTCACAGTAATAAAATCGGAATAATCACGTAGCACCGAGATACGATAATTAGCAAGAAAAAGAGTGACAACGACAACAAGATCTTTACGTAGAAAACCCTTTGAATAAGGGAAAAATGATGGCTCCGAGACAAGCAACTGATATCACTATAGCAAGAAATTTTACACTTTGTAGGTCTGAGTAAAATACTCCAAAGACCACTACAACACTCAAAAGAAATAACCCTCTTTTGATATTCTCACCTCACTACAATATCGCTCACTCTCTATTTTTCTCACAGACTATTTTCTTATACCTTGTCTGTGAAACCTTGCTCTTTCTTTCTCTCTTTGTTGGTGTGTGAAAATGAGAGTTGAAGCTCTCCTTTTATAGCCGAAGCCTCACTCTTTAAAGCCTACTATATTTGACAATTTGCACACACTTTTCCTTTTTTTCTTCAATGTTGACAATTCAACAAAGTTGGCTACCAACCCAAAGAAATTCAACAAAGTTGGCTACCAAACCAAAGAAATTCCAACAAAGTTAGCTACCAAACCAAAGAAATTTTTCTTAGGCACATGCCTATTACTTTGGCTATTGAATGACATGGAACCCATTAATCTCCCCCTCCAGTCTCATTCATCTAAAGGAGGTAGCACTGTCTTCTAGTTTGAGTGCATGCCGACAAGTTCTTTTTATAGTTCTAACTTGTCTCTTGGTACCACTTTGGTCAACATATCAGCAGGATTTTCACTCGTGTGAATCTTTTTGACCTGTAAAGATTCGTTCTCCACCTGCTCACGAATCCAATGATATCTCACATCTATATGCTTTGTTCTTGCATGGTACATAGAGTTCTTGCTCAAGTCTATTGCACTTTGACTGTCACAATAGACGACATACTCCTTTTGATACAATTCCAGCCCTTGAAGAAACCGCTTGAGCCATACCATCTCCTTGCCAGCTTCTGTAGCGGCAATGTACTTTGCTTCAGTTGTTGAAAGTGAAACACATTTCTTCAATTTAGACTGCCATGATATAGCTCGCCCTGAAAATATAAACGAATATCCAGTAGTGGATTTTCTATTATCAATGTCACCTGCCATATTAGCATCTGTATAGCCCTTCAAGATTGGATGAGATCCTCCAAAGCACAAACAATCTCCCGTGGTACCTCTCAGGTACCTGAGTATTCACTTGACTGTTTCCCAATGTTCCTTTCTAGGATTTTCAAGGAATCTGCTAACAACACCAACTGCATGAGCAATATCAGGTCTGGTGCATACCATTGCATACATCAAGCTTCCGACTGCTGAAGAATAAGGAACTCTAGCCATGTTCCCTTTCTCCTCCACTGTTGTAGGACACATCTTCTTGCTCAACTTTAGATGACTAGCAAAAGGTGTGCTGACTGGCTTAGAATTCTTCATGTTGAAGCGTTTCAGTACACGTTCAATGTACTTCTCCTGAGACAACCACAACTTTCTGCTTGTTCGCTCTCGATCTATCTTCATACCCAGAATTTGTTGTGATGGGCCCAAGTCCTTCATATCAAATGACTTGGACAAATATCCCTTCAACTTTGCGATCATCCCTTTGTCTTTTCCTACAATTAACATGTCATCCACATACAACAACAATATAATAAAGTTATTTTCAGAAAATCTTTTGAAGTATACACATTGATCAGAATATATCTTTGTGTAAGTTTAACTTTTCATGAATGTGTCAAACTTCTTGTACCACTGCCTTGGTGCCTACTTCAACCCATAAAGACTCTTATTCAGTTTGCACACCATGTGTTTCCTTTCAGCTACTTCAAATCCTTCTGGTTTCTCCATATAGATCTCCTCTTCCAAATCTCCGTGAAGAAATGCAGTTTTCACGTCCAACTGCTCCAATTCAAGATCTAGGCTAGTTGCTAAGCTCAAGATTGTTCGAATAGAAGTCATTTTGATAATAAGTGAGAAAATTTCGTCAAAATCAATACCTTTCTTCTTCTCTAAGCCTTTTACCACCAATCGAGCTTTGTATCTGACCAGCTTGCCATTTCCATCTTTCTTGAGTTTAAAGACCCACTTACATTTGAGTGATCTTTTACCCTTTGGAAGTTCAACCAGGTTGTACATGCCATTTTTCAGCAAAGATTCCATCTCCTCTTGCATGGCTTTCATCCACTGGTTCTTTTCTGGATGGGACATCACCTCCTTAAGACTTTCTGGCTCCCCCCATCACTGATGAGGACATACTCCGTGAAAGGGTACCTGCATGACTCTACCCTTGGCCTTTCTAATCTCCTCAGAGGTTGAGGTTGTTCTTCTCCCTGAGTGGGGTGATCCACTTGCTCGACATCATCATCAAGTTGCTCCCCCTTCTCAATAACCTCACTAGGTTGCTCCACCTGCTCGGCAACCTCGTCGATCATACTTTCTGCAATTGTGGGATTGTTAGAAGTAGAAGGAAATAGTAACAAGGTTAGGAATAATACCATTCTTGGCCTTCTCTGGCATATCATCAGTAGTTCCAACTTCACTTTCTCGAAAGACTACATCTCTACTTCTGATGACCTTCTTCTTTACGGGATCCCACAATCTGTATCTGAATTCTTCATCTCCATATCCGATGAATATGCAAGGAACAGATTTATCATCCAACTTTGTTCTCTGCTCCTTTGGTACATGTGCAAAAGCTTTACAACCAACACATTCATATGCGAGTAGGACACCTCCTTGTTGGTCCAAACTCTCTCTGGATATCAAACGCCAACGGAACTGATGGACTCCTATTGATCAGGTAACAGGCTGTTTGAACTGCTTCACCCCCGAATGACTTAGGCAGTTTAGCCATTCTGAGCATGCTTCTCACCTTCTCCACAATGGTGTGGTTCATCCTTTCGGTGCCATTGTGTTGTGGGGTTTCAGGAACTGTCTTTTCATGTCTGATCCCATGGTTTGAACAGTACTCTTCAAATTCCCTTGAAGAAGTACACTCACCTCTATTGTCACTTCGGAGACGCTTTAGCTTTTGGCCTGTCTCTCTTTCCACCATAGCATGAAACTTCTGAAAAACTTGAAACACCTGATCTTTGGTTTTCAAAATATAAACCCATAATTTTCATGAAGCATCATCAATAAAAGTAACAAAATATTTGTTACCGCCCATCGATTCAATTTCCATTGGACAACAAATATTAGAATATACCAAATCAAGTATATTCAATTTTCTTTCAGACGATGTCTGAAATGAGACTCTATGTTGCTTACCAAATAAACAGTAGTCACGGAGTTTTACCGTTGTACCTTTGGCATAAGAAATGAGTGATTTCTTGGCAAGAATCTGCAATCCCTTCTCGCTCATATGACCCATTCTTTTGTGACACAAATCTACAGAAATCTCATCTTGTGTCACGTTCAATTCACCTTGGCATATTTCTGCATTTGTCCTGTACAACGTTCCATGAGCAACTCCCTTTGCAATCACCAATGATCCCTTGGTGAGTCTCCATTTTTGATTTGTAAAATAGTTCTCGTATCCATCTTGGTCTAAAGCAATTTCCGAGATCAAGTTCATCCGCAAACCAGGTACATGTCGCACGTCCTTCAGAACCAATGTGCATCCGATATTTGTCTTGATACAAATGTCACCAATACTCGCTATCTTTGAGTAACTTATGTTACCCATTCTCACAAGGTCGAAATCACCTGCTACACATCTGCAAAAAAGATCTCTTACCGGTGTGGCATGGTAAGATGTTGTTTTATCAACTCATTCCGACTCTGGACCTGATAAGTGCATGCATTCCTCTTCCTCGTTTATACAGAGGACAACATCATCATTGTTTTGCACCATGGCGGTTGTGTTGTCGTCATTCTTCTGGCCACTAGTTCCACCTTTGCCCTTCCTTGGATTTGGGCAATCTCTTTTGAAGTGACCTGGTTGATCACAATTGTAGCAATTTCTAGCTCTTGATTTGGATCGGTTCTTAGACTTCCCACGAGCTCCGGATCTACCATAGTTGCTCGAACTCCTTTGATAACTCCTGCCTCTACCTTCTGTGATGAGAGCATGTCCTTGTTTTTCAGGCTTTTTTCTCATTTTCTCATTGAGTAAAAGAGCAAATGTGACATCTTTCAACTCAATAGTAGTCTTACCATGCAGGATGGTTGTTGCCATATTATCGTACGAAGATGGCAACGAGTTCAACAACAAGATGGCTTTATCTTCTTCTTCGATTTTCACTCCGAGATTGGCGAGCTGTGTGATTATTCTGTTAAACACATTTAAATATGACAAAAAATTCGTACCTTCACCCATGTGTAGGGCGTATAACTGCTTCTTCAGGTAAAATTTATTTGTTAGCGTTTTGGACATGTATAGGTTTTCCAACCTTGCCCAAATGCCACGTGCGGTGTCTTCATCAATGATGTTATTTACCACATCATCTGATAAGTGCAACATGATTGCACTAGCAGCCCTTTCATCCAAGTCAGCCCAATCCTCAGCTTTCATGGTATTAAGCATTTTGGCATCAGCATCTAGTACCTTGTGTAATCCTTGTTAGATGAGCAGATCTCTCATCCTTCTTTACCATGTTGAGAAACCGCTATCTCCGTTAAATTTTGCTACCTCGTACTTTACTCCAGACATTTTTATTTTTCACCGAGTATAGTACTACCGACAGTGAATAGTATTTCTGTGAACGAGCAGAACCTGTGCTCTGATACCAGTTGTTGAGAATAAACCCCCTACAGAAATAATATTCACAGTAATAAAAGCGAAATAATCACGTAGCACCGAAATACGGTAATTAGCAAGAAAAAGAGTGACACCGACACCAAGAGTTTTACGTGAAAAATCCTTTGAATAAGGAAAAAAATGACGGTCCCGAGACGAGCAACTGATATCACTATAGCAAAAAAATTTACACTTTGTAGGTCCGAGTAAAATACTACAAAGACCACTACAACACTCAAAAGAAATAACCCTCTTTTGATATTCTCAGCTCACTACAATATCGCTCTCTCTATTTTTCTCACAGACTATTTTCTTATACCTTGTCTGTGAAACCTCACTCTTTCTTTCTCTCTTTGTTGGTGTGTGGAAATAAGAGTTGAAGCTCTCTTTTTATAGCCGAAGCCTCACTCTCTAAAGCCTACTATATTTGACAATTTGCACACACTTTTCCTTTTTTTTCTTCAATGTTGACAATTCAACAAAGCTAGCTACCAACCCAAAGAAATTCAACAAAGTTGGCTGCCAAACCAAAAAAATTCCAACAAAATTGGCTACCAAACCAAAGAAATTTTTCTTAGACACATACCTATTACTTTGACTATTGAATGAGATGGAACCATCAATTAGCTGGTGAATGGCCTCCAGAAAAGCATGTGCATGTTGTGGAGAAACTTCAATATCGTACTCATGGTCAAGATGGAGTAGCAATTCGTGTTTCTGGATCTTTTATAGTTGGGAACCAACTCCTTATTTGAGGATATGGTATGCAAGTTGAGGGTCTGTCAAATTTAAAAGCTCTCTCTATCGATATACCCAGCAAACGAATGGGGGCCTTTCAGGAGCAATTTATAGTAGAGAAGGCGAACATCATTGGCCGTTATTTCATAACTAAGCAAAAACTTTTCATTACTCAATGCAACTCTTCCTGCAAAACTCTTAAGATCGTGGATGTGTTTGTAGTTCACTGTTCCTGTAAATGGAATAAAGAGTTGAGAATCATGACGCCACACCAATTAGAATATGGGTTTTCACTATTAAAAAAATCATAATGCTCCAAATTAGGTCCTCTTTTTTATTCTTTCCAGTAGCCACCCCTTTTTACCCAATACTACTCTTTTTTATTTTTGTTCTAGACTTCTTTTTCGCTGAATTTTGTTTTACCCTCTCCCCTTTTTAAATTTTTTTTATTTTATTTTGCCTAATTCTCTATAGCAAAGAGAAAAAAGAAAAACTCCAAAGTTCGATCTTTAATGAAGACGAAAATTCACCTCGCCAATTGTGTTTTACATCATAGATTCACGGCGTCTATAATATTAATATGAATTTTCTCATTAACTTTTTTCATCGCCGTGTTCAATTAGTTGCACACTTATACATGCGATTAGTTGTAAAAACATCAAAAGAGCTAAGCATTCACCAACCCAAAATACTGAATACTGGTTAAAGGTATGTGTATGAAATGATGCTTTCCCGTGCAACTGAATATGGTTAAGTAATAATTACTATCCTTTAGTGAATGTCCTCTCAATATGTTGTTGTATCATCCCTTACACATTTCTCATATATATATGTATATGTTTGTGTGTGTGTGTGATGCAATTACTCTGTCATGTAGTGTGCTCTATGTTATAATCTAATGTTATACGCGCTTACCGCGTACCACATATTCCCTATTGTATTCCATTCTATTATATTTTCTTCCTTTTGTCTTTATTTCCTCTCTCACCTCTGTTGATTAATAAGGAACTACAAAATTAATCTGGTAATATAAATCTCTCCTCTCTGTTGATTAATGAGATGTGCTCATGCATTCCTGCTAAGGAAATCGTTACCCGATCTTCTTGACTTCCAACTCGATCACTCATTCGAGCGTCTGACCTTTGCCAATAGGATACATCTAGGGAGTTTGTTTCCATCCTAAGCCCTTGAATCTGAATTAAACTCAATTCAATGTGCCCATATACCACATTAACTAGTCTTAACTTTGGAAACACTAACAATTAATATTTCGCAATTCGTAACGACAAGTTTAACCAAAATAAAAATTAAGTTGATAAATAATACATATACACATGCAAGCACGGGCGTACACGGTCACCAAACTTGTCCTCTTCTTTGCAATTTGTAATGAGTTGGGTGGCATTTGTTCCAAAGTTGGTGAAAATCTGAAATGCAGCTCCAGAGGTGAATTTTTTTTTTTTTCCCCACATTGCTTGAAACAAAGAGCCACCTTAGTCTTACATGTTTCCGTCTCCAATCGTCAAACTTATTTTGACTGGTCCTGTCATCATCAGCGGTGACACAAAGTGGCATTCACCGCTAAAACTGAATCTTGCAAAAAGAAAATTTGATGCACATGCTTTACAGGTGTTAGTTAATTCTAAATTTGCTATCCAAGTCTCCCCAGAGATCATAATAATGAAATTATCTTAGAGGACTAAGTAGGTTTAGAACCCAGAGTTGGCTAATTCACTAAGCTAGAATAGGGCTAACTGATTTGCAGTATGAATCACAACTCTAAGTGTCTGAATTCTGTGCCTGCAATCAAGGAATACTGCTTTTTCTAGAACACAAATTAACTTTTCAACCTGTTTAGCGTTTAGAGTCATTTGACCTGTGCTTCGCCAAATCCACTCTTGAGGCTTCACCATTGATGGTCGTGAAATCCAACAAAAATTTCTCGAGTTTGACACATTTACCTATGCTTGTGATCCAGCAGATGCTTTTCAGTTTCCAATCACAAACTACTGATGTACATAGGGTTGCGTCATGTCACAAGGACCATGTGAACCATAAGACATGGCTCCTTGACCATATTGGGTTGCATCAGCACTGACTTGAACCTGAAACATTACAGGGTTATTACAAATAGGACAGTGGTATTATAGCTCATTTAAAGTTTTCGCAAAGCTTAAGTTGCAATTACATGGCAACTTCCATGTGCCACTTTGTCCTCTTTGTAGGTTAGCAAGGGAAGTGCCTTGGATCAAAAAGGTGGAACCAACTAAATAATAGTTCCATCTAGTGGATTGGGATCCCATCAAGTAAAGTTTGCTCTAGTATTCTTCAATAGGGTGCTAATTTTTTGACATGTGTCCTCTTCACTAATCAATGGACAACATCTCTTTAACTAAAAAATTAGTTTTACCATGGTTCTATTTCTCCTTTCTCATGGCTAACGTCCCAAGGCCTCTCAGATATTCTTCTTTAACCCTTTTCACTTCTTTAACCCTTTTCAAACAGCCCATCCTTGTTAATCCTTCGTCTTCTTCCTTTTTCTGTGGCCTTTTCATTGAAGAAAGAAACTTCTTTTTTTCCTTCGTCAGTTTTTACTACTAGTATTTGTTTAACAGAATTGTAAATAGAAAATCAACATCAACTAAAATCAGAAACGTCTTCCTCAAAAGTGGTGCAGATCAAAATGTAGAGTCTTCAATGAAATCAATTGCTAAATGTGGTTCCATGGAGAGTCAACTCGGAAATAAGAATGAAAGACATGTTATTTGACAATTCTATTGGCAACACAGGAGAGTGCATCTATAATAAGAATTTGCTTCCAAATTAAAATTATTAAAGTAATATAATTATCCTTCTAGATTCCAAAAAAGGCTTTTAAAGGGACGATTTGGAAGGTGTGCAATTAGCTTTGCCTTTTATTTTTGGGTAATTAAAAGAATTTTATTTACCAAGTAATAATATTTACAAAGCAATCATAGAAAAAAACAGCACATCCTCGACAGCCTCAGGTATTCAAACTTCATTCTAGTAACCTCTAAACACTACACATGCGAAGAACGATGTCCTGAAAGGGTTTCTGGCGATTAAAGTAGGGCAAGCAGAAGAAGAGCAACAGAGATTTGTTATCTCTGTTTCAAGCAGGAGAAATATAACCATGGTTAAACTAGTTTTTTAATTAAAGAGATCTTGTCCATTGATTAGTTAGGAGGACACGTGTCAAAAAATTAGCACCCTATTGCAGAATACTGGAGCAAACTTTACTGGATGGGATCCCAACCCACATCTAATAGCCTTTAAATTAGGAAATTCTCTACCAATTTTCGCTTCTCCCGAGTGTGAAAGGTAAGCGTGATATCATTATAAACATAGAAGTCCACAGGATATGGAGAGAACAGGCAATGATTTATTTTTTATTTTTTATTTTTTCTCAAAACAACCATCACGAGTCAATAAGAATCATGAAAACTTTCCTCACGTAAAATCTTTTATGATGATCTAATTAACTGAGTTTTTCTAGATAAAGGATGATCTAACTTCCTGATGCAAACTAGTGATATGAAGAAAAAGGACAAGAAGCCAAAAAAATAAAAGGCAAACAATTTTCATCAAGCAAACAATAATATATAGGAGCAATATATAAAGAATCCTTGAGAGCTTTTGCTTTTTGATGATAAAAGAAATTGTTTTTTTTTCCCAAAGTGCATTCTTGTATTAGAACTTGGAAAAGTTTCCTAGCATTCCCCCAGAAATCATCTCCAGCATCGCCATCTTGACTTACGCCTTCATCTACCAGGAAGCATATAAGCTAGCCTATCATATCTTGACAGTCCAATAGAAAAAAATAAAAAATGAAAAATGAGAGAGGAAGAAGGATATCATTGAATCCAGATGGAAAAAGCATAGAGTTTTTAAGTGAACAAGAAGGGAAATTCACTTATTCTGCCTATGCTAATTTAGCTCACTGCCAGGCAAAGGACAAAGGGAAAGTTTACATGACAACATGGATTTAAACTGTTTGAAACATTAAAGGACAAGAAGGATCGATCAACAATATGCAAACAACAAATACTTGAGAGATCATCACATGTAGCATTCCATCTCATTTGCCACCCTAATAGAATTTTTTTTTTCTTTATGCAAAATTATAACAGAAATCATAAAAACCAAAAGTCAAGAGAAGGTATAACCATTTGAAAATGTAATATATATGCAATTACAAACCTGATGTACAGCATAAGGAGCAGGGTACAAAGTCCCTCCATAACCTGTTTCAGGATTTCCATAATTGGCAGAATACGTAAAACCTGGAAGGATAAATCCAAAATTCTATCTTAATTAGCTGAGTGTACTATGAAGTAGATAATGATGATAAGCTCTACAGCAGGTGGAAACTGGTGGGTTTGTTTTCCACCAGGTGGAAACTGGTGGTTTGACTTACTTGGATTCACTGCAGCAAACTGGTGGTTTGAATTACTTGGAGCCGCTGCTGCAGCAGCTGCTGCTCTTGCCCTCTTCTCTGCATTTGCAAGCTCAGCATGTAGGCTTTCGATTTCAGCAGTCATAGTAATCTTATGCTTCTCCATAGCTTGATTATATTCAAGGTTACTGGCATGCATCTTTTTTTCATAGTCAATAGCAGCTCTGTTCATATTGACAGCAGAAAGAATTAAAAGTTCAAATATCAACAAGAGTATGAGAGCCCGAGAAGATATGTAAGACCAATAAGCCAACAAAGGGGAAACGCTTGAACTTCTTTCATTACCTTGGTCCATCCAGCTAAAGTAGACCACAAATAAAAAATGGAAAAAGGCCAAAACTGTTCCAGAACTATTGGATTTGGTAGAAAAATGTCCTCCATCCACCTATTGAGCCAAAATGACCCTGCTGTTTTCTTTTGGCCCCAAAATGCCCTAAAAACTAAGGGACAATTTAAAACAAAACCAGAAAAGACCAAAACTACCCCTGATCTATTGAATTTGGCAAAAAATGCCCTCCGTTAACCCCATATCAAATTATATGACCCACCCATCTCTAAATATCCAACCAACCTATAAGATCAAAACCTGAATTTAATAATAAAACTCCACATCCAATCTCTTTCCTTCTTTCCAATGAGTTTTATCTTCTTCTTGGAAAAAAGTAAGTTCGAAATAGTTATTTTCTTGGTTATTTGATGTTTAACACCCGGTAGCTGAGATTCCTCTTCTCTAAATCTAGAATTGCCAAATGAATTTTTCAGCTACTTATCTTTTCCACCAAAAAATATTAGTCTTGTGGGGTTTGTTCATTTACTTTTCTTTTTTAAACTTAATTGTTATTTGTTATTTATAGTGTTTCTCTTGTTCTCTGTAGATAACTGGAATGTGTATTATATGAGTTTCTTGTAGTTATTATCATTATCATTTCATCTCTTTATATTTTGTATTGACTTTAAATTGGGTTCCTTGGCGTGTTGTACTATTTGGTTGTGTTGTTTTCCGTGCACAGTACATATTAGCCTTTTACATTGACTATCTACGCGCTTCAATGAATTTCTCAGTTCTTAGCATCAAAATTTGGTTTTTGTAGTACAATTGAATTTGAGTTCTCTTATTTTGGAATAAAATTGTTGCAATTTTGGAACCATAGGTGAGTCAGTCTAGTGAATTTTAGTGGTTCTGGAGTTCATCGGACATTATAATCATAATTTTCATAATAAGAAATATAAGAAGATAAAACTTACTTGAAAAGAAGGAAATAGATCAAGTGCAGGGTTTTATTATTAAATTCAGGTTTGGATCTTACGGTAGGTTGGATTTTTAGGGATGAGTGGGTCATATAATTTGATATGTGGTTAATAGAGGGCCTTTTTAATCAAATCCAATAGATCAGAGTCATGTTTGAGCTTTTTCCGTTTTGTTTTTAATGGGCCGTTAGTTTGTAGGGCATTTTGGGGCCAAAAGGAAACGGCGGGGGCATTTTTGGCTCAATAGGTGGACGAATGGCATTTTTGTACCAAATCCAAAAGGTCAGGGGCGGTTTTGGCCATTTCCAAAAAAAATCCATCTAGCTAAACATGGCAGCATAAGGTATTAAATTCCAACTAGCAGTTAAACCATACAACTATTTTAAAAGGTAAATCTGTGAGTGGTCACACGAACAGTTCAAACAGCTATGCAGGAACAAATGCAGACATGTGATGGAAAATGACCAAAATGGCAATATAAAGGGATCCATGTCACAGCACAGCTATTATACTTGTGTCTCACTCTTCCACTGTAATGCCATTAACATTGTAGAAATGCGACTTTGATGCATGATCACCACAAACTTGGAGGGTATCTTGTCAAATGACGAATTTAAAATGGCTTTGAGCTGCAATATGCCACATCAAATTGTCATCTCAAATCAAAATTTGGTTTTTCTTTTTCTGAGAATGAAATCAAAGCTTGGGTTTTCTTGCTTTCTTTTATGTTTTATTTTGTTTTACATGCATCGGAGGAAGGATTTCAGAAGAGTCTCTGTCAACCCTCAGCTCAGGTGGAAAATTTGTTAAAAGGTTCTTATCATCTCTCTCTCTCTCTAAATATGTATGTATGTATGTATACATAAAGAGATATATATATATTTTTATTTTTATTTTTTTTTTCCTTCACGTACAACAGGTACCAGACAACCACATACATAAACAAGGGAACTGACGACGCCATGAACCTTTAACCACATAGAGCTAAAGTAGGCTTCAACCATGACATTGGAGAAGGTGAAGTGATATATCTTTCGAGTTTGAGTAGGTTACCATTTTCAATTTGGACATAACTATGACTTCCACAGCAAACAAGGATGTCCAATTGTCCACACTTCGTCATTAATTGCAGAACCTTCCATTTCACCACTATGGCATCTGTTGTTTTTTTATCTTTTCTAAAATTTGTAAATGCAGCAACTCTTCACGTCTCTGAGACACACTAAGACAGCACTCAGGATTTTTTTTATCATGATAAACTATTTCTTCGGATAGCCGGTTGATTTACTGATGTAAACCTAGCATCTAGAGTTGCTATTCTATTTTGTATAAAGAGGTCTTGTTTCAGGTAGGTTTTGTTCCCGTTGATAATGGTGAAAACAAACTTGAAATGTTCTCTCTTTTAAAATAAAACAATCGACTACAAGTACAACACACGTTCTAGGCCAAAGATGACGCAGCACACGCCAAAGGAAGCTCTAATTTAATTTGCATTTGACGATCATTGATAATTATATCTCGACCGCAATTACAGACATGAAACTATAATGAGAAACAAGATCCTACAAACTTGTTATTCATTCTCATTGCTTGTGTTTCTTACCACTTTCTATTCCATTTCACACAGATAAGCAAAGGTGAAGTTGTAGAGTGGGGATAGTTTTACGAAACCACAAAAAGTTTATACAAACATAGTTTATGCGAAAAGTAATATAACATGAAAATATGATTGATAATCTAGACAAAACATCCGTTCACTCTTGGCCATCTCAATGGCAGGCAACCCAAAAGAGACGAATGAATAGATGACTATATATATTAGCTGTGTGTCTCATTTAAGATCTGTTTCTGCGTCCATACTATCTTCCAGATTTCCATCTTTTTATCTCTTTATTACCGCGCTATCTTTTAGTTTCTATAGCACCCGTTTGTCCCATTGTAAGCATTTATATAAAATACAAACAAATTATGATAAATGGGGCTACCAAAGCTGCGCAAGTCATGCTACTGAAATCATCCTGATGATTAGGATATTGCATTGAGACATATCTTCTTCACATAGAGCACCCAAAGGCGTGGCCTATTGGTTAATGAAGTGGGTGCAAACCTTGGAGACTACAGATTCAAATCCCAAAAGACAAAAAACACTAGGTAGCAGAGTTACTCCTGTTGGGGTAGAAAGTAGCAAGTACCGGTGGAAAAGTCATAGTGAGCAGGAGCTTGCCCGAGCACCACAGTTAAAAAAAATAGGCATATCTTCTTCGTATAGGGAACGCCAAATTAAACACAAAGAAAGATCACAATGAATACAAAGAGCGTTTATATTGCTTGAATTGTGATATATAAGCTTGTTCCCTCGTTCAAATTCATCTATCTTTTTCTCTATACTGTGTGAATGATTATGTGTTCACTGTTCATTTGTCATAAAAAAAACATGACATCATACAGTGCAAGAGGTGGTAGTAGGTTACCTTCCTCGTTGAACTTCCTTGCGCATGCTCTCAATTTCCGCTTTGATAACAGGAAACTGCTGCAACTCCGAATGAACCTTGACGAGATCATCCTCCATCTCCTGCAATTTGGCTGTCAGCTCTTTGCGGTCAGCATTTAGGTTCTGAATATCGGTCCTAACCCTAGCC